CGTGACTGCAGAAGTGTGGGGTCGGAGCGGGAATCAGTCGGAGTTGATTGTTTTGGCCAGTTTTGGCCAGAGTCGGAGTTGAAGTCTTCGAAAATGTTCGAATTTCGACTTCGAGGTCGGATTGGTGTAAAGTCATGTTCTTGGCTGGTTAGGCGAAATATATTAGGCCCGTGTTCGGCCAGCCGTGTTAGACGACACACGTTGATCATGAAATCAAAGATCGGCAGTTCCGCGATGACAGGTCGGATAGGAGTTGGAGATTTTGTTGGCCGAGGTGGCAGGGGTCAGACCAATGCAAGTAGGCCGACACCCCATATACTGAGTATCTAAACCTCCTGGACCCTCTCAGATTCGGCACCGTTCTATCTCTTCCATCCTCAGGACAGTCAAATCCTTCTCCTCCACGCCGCAACCCCCCTGCTCCGGGCTGGACGGGCAACTATCCCATGCAGGAATGGCTCCACTGGAGCTATAGTCCTTTGCCGGGTGCGGTGAGTGCCAGTGGACTGGGCTGCCTGTTCAATTGGTCGGATTCATCCCAGGTGGCTCACTGGGGTGGCTGCCCCGACCAATGTCTCCCACTAATTCTTTCATGCTTGCGGCTCTGAAATGGTCTCATTGGACCGAAGGGCCTAATCAAATTTCGAGTAGGATAGGGGAGAGTGGGGAAAGATGCCCAGGGTTTGACTATGTCATATATTATTTGAAAATGACGATCGGAAAGCCAAAACTTGGAGTTTCAACGGAAGCCGACATCATTTTTCTCCAAAAATATCACACTTTCGTGCCTGAAATATGATAACTTTTTTTGCTATCAAGCATTTTCCTGAAGAAGTGAAAGGGGGCATCTTACCCCACAGGGTGGAAAAGACGCCCCCTGGCGCTGGGTAAGATGCCCCCTGCACTAAAAGTGACATAAATAGGCACGTGAATCGCCTGAACGAATTAGTAGTCCCTTCGAGCCTGCAGTAGACACCAAACGTCATCGTAAGGGCCCTCAAAAGTAGTCGTAAGGGGCTTCAGAGGTCATCGTTAGGGCCATCATAGTCCAGCGTGGCCAAACAAGCCTCCGTGGTGGCGTTCGGAGACCACTGTGGGGCCCTTATAGGTCTTCATGATGCTTGAGGGCCCTCGAGCCCATCGTGGGGACCTCAGATGCCAGTGTGGCCCGTGGAGCCAACGTGGGAGCCCTCAAAGGATGTCGTGAGGGGCCATAGAACCAATAATGGGGCCCACAGAGGCCGTCGTGAGGGCTCTCAGAGTCAGATGCCGCCCAAAAAGTCGCTGTGTGGCAGGGCTGCGGAGTCGGAGTCGGAGTCGGAGTCGGAGTCGGTCGGAGTCGACAGTTGTGACCGGAGTCGGAGTCGGAGTCGGAGTCGATTTTAGAAACCCGAGCCGGAGTCGGAGTCGGAGTCACCGAAAATTTGTCGACTCCGCAGTCCTGCTACGTCTGCGGAGTCGGAGTCGGGAGTTGGAGTCGGTCGGAGTCGACAATTCTGCCCGGAGTCGGAGTCGGAGTCGGAGCTGGTTTTTGAAAGCCGGAGTCGGAGTCGGAGTCGGAGTCGCCGAAAATCCATCGACTCCGCAGCCCTGCTGTGTGGGCCGAGAGACCGGCATGGGGAGCACCCGACCGTACCGGACTCTCAATAGTCCCAGATCGGCTTTTGTCTCTCATCACAAGTATGTAATACATGATTTGACGGGCTGCTTGAAGGACAGCCTACGGATTTAGGGGGGCGTCTTTCCCCATCAGGACAGGGGGCATCTTACCCCAAGGTACCGAAGTAACATTAAATCAGCACAATTTGTTAGCCATAAAACTACACCGTGAAACAAACTGTTTGGGGCACAGTACACGCATGTTAATGTATCACGACTATAGCAAGGGACGCAAACATTATCTACCTTTTTTGATATTTTCAATGTTTTTACGCCAAAATATTTTTTGAAAGCAGCAAATAAAAACATGCAATCACCAGCCAGCCGTTGCCCAACTGAGCTTCGCAAATTTTTGTGCAGTTAACAAGGCAGACTTCTGCTTTACGCTAAGAACATTAATTTCCAGGTTCGATTCTTTGTTTCCCCGCTAGAGGGGGTGGGGCGTCTTTCCCACCCTGGGCATCTTACCCCACTCTCCCCTAACAACCAGTAAAACGTCTTTTAGGGCGACCAACGGAGCGAGGGTGGGGTGGACCTTGCACGTGCAAAATTGCGAGGGGATACCTACAACTAACTTGTGCACTGCACCCTTCTAACCGGTCCCTAACGATGTGCCAAATTTGAGCGCAATCGGCCTAGCCGTTCTCGAGATCTGGAAGCGGCACCCTGCACGTGCGCACGTGCAAAATGGGTCCCAACTGACTTTTGCACGGCACCCTACTAACCGGTCCCTAACCATGTATCAGATTTCAGCACAATCGGTTCAGCCGTTCTCGAGATCTGGAATCGACCCCTGCGTGTGCGCACGTGCAGCAGCACCCCAACTGTGGCACATGGATATGCATTGCCTAGTGGGTATACCTACCTACATGCCAACTTTCAGCGCAATCGGCCCAGTAGTTGCCGAGATATTGAAATTGTTACAAAACTGACACCTCTTCGCTTTTCACGTGGCACGTGCATATGGAGTCACTCACATGCATCGGGAATAGTCCGATGCTCGTTAGAAGGAATGAATCTAGTGCTACCCTACAAAAATTACCGCATGTACGTACCTAAATCGGTCAAGTGGTTGCTGAGATATAAGCCTAGCAAAAGCGTGACCACGGCATACTCAGAAATTTCCGTTAACCTACGAAAGACTACGCTCGCTTCGCTCGCTCCGTAATGAGTTTAGGGGGGGACGTCCCCCTTCCATTCTGAGAGTGGGGGGGACGCGTCCCCCCCGTCCCCCCCGGTGGCGGCGCCCATGTACGAAGGCACCAAAACTACTTCGTGAATGTTCAAATGGTTGCTAAATTCGAATTCAGCTCCAAAAACTAGCCTAGAAACATGTATAATTCGAAAAAGTACCGAGGTCATCATAGGTCAATGACCTGACCTGACCTTCAGGTGACCTTGACACCCACTCTAATGCATGGGAGCAGCATCAACTCACATGTTTGAACGCTTGAAACCACGAAAAGACTGCAAACGAGCGGCTAATGCGAGTCGGCATACGCCGAATCGCGATTCTGGCCAAACATGGTCTCAGTAGGTCACAGGTGATAGGTCATTTGAGTCAGGGTCATGCAATTTCTAGGGTAGGTGTAAAACTGATCAACGCGAGGGTACTGAAAGTGTTGTCGCGATCGGCCGCTTTTTACGCGAGTTATTCACGAAAACCCTTAGGGGGTTGCATCATACCCTCCCCCTGTGCCGGCGAGGGTTAAAACTTCTTGTGATCGAATTTACGTAATGAAGAAGGATAAAGGCACAATCTTCTACAGCAGCCAATAGATGACTTAGGACAGGCACATGGGACTACTTAAAATATTGTCCGATAGAAGCAGGCAACAGCTCCGTTAGCATATATGCTATGCATATTGCGGAAGGGGCACATTTCGGTCTCGAAAGATACGAATTCGTACCTCATAGTAACATATTTCTGTCATGGTCAATTCGCGTAGAAACTAGAAATTGAACACCGGGTGATTACCGAGCTATTGTTCTATCAAAATTTTCCCATTCAAACTCGCTGAGGGTGATCGTGTAGGTAAAGGGGGCCCGCTCAGCAGAATGCGTATGAAATATAGAAAGATTCTGAAAAATGGGTGGGGGCCCGCACACTAGGGGGCCCGCTTTGGAGGCGATGACCCCCCCCGAAACCAAATCCTGGCTGCGCCACTGGTTGTGGATCCTAGCACCCTTCTGCGTCTTCATACGCCCTGTATGGTGGTGATGTTCACCCTCTTAGCTAGTCTAGAGTCTGCATATTTTTTGTGTGCGGCCATTATGCCTTTTCTTTCTCCATCTCCTCTCTCTCTCTCTCTCTCACTCTCTCTCTCTCTCTCTCTCTCTCTCTCTCTCTCTCTCTCTCTCTCTCTCTCTCTCTCTCTCTCTCTCTCTCTCTCTCTCTCTCTCTCTCCATCGCAATTTGTCGTCCCGGGTATTGCAGGTATGCGCCCTGTCCACGGTCTAGTAACCACCGCCGCCGTATGACGCCTGAAACGTCAGCCGTCTGTGATGCTTCGGATCGACCGAGTTGGCTTAATAACCAGGCCACTGGCGCCGGAAAACGGCGACCAATTTCATTACCGATAGTGTATGAACGACAACGAAACGGCTCCGCGCAGCGCTCCGCGGAACAGGCGCCCACATTCGTGCCGGCACATCCATGCATTTAACGGCGGCATAACGGTAATTGCCTCGGCGGCAGACTCAAGTGAAATGACTGATGTCGAGACCCGGTAATATCATTTGATTGTCGAGGACTATTTGAATAGAACGCTCGCATTGGCACATTTGTTCAATGGCCATAACTCATTTGACGATGACGGAAAAGTTTTCAGTGAGCCGTTTTATACTCGGGGGGTCTTATATTATCGTGTCACACTAATCTAATAATGATAAGCATTGGCATAAATGTTGTCGTCCGATCATTGCGATCGCTGTGGTGTCAGAGAAATACATGAATGGGCATACATTCATGCAGCACACCGACCAAGCGCGTCGCTCAGTTAGCTAAATAAGGCTGCAAGCCAGGGCATCCCCCTTTCGAGTGGCTGATAACGGACGGATTGGTGCAGTCCGTAGCCCTCAAAGCACTCAAAAGTGCCGTTTTATGTACAAGTGTGTGTTCGTGCTGACAGATTGATATTCTACCTCTCACAGCCACCAGTTGATTGGAGTGATAGGGTGTGTCACTTAGCATGCCATCAATCGTAATCGTGTCTTCGGTAAAGGTGAGAACACAGGAACAGACTGCGTTTTTATCCACAGGGAAAGTAGCAAAGCTTCATGCTATTCTGTAAGCAGCTAGTGACCTGTGAGAAGTGGGACATTAGATTAAACTGACATACCTGCGGAGACGAGACAGCAGAATGTCAGGACGGTCACCGACGGTAGAGCGCCTGATCGGATCATGGTGCCGGGGAGGGCTGACACGGCACCACGAGGCAGAGAGAGGCGATCCTGTGTCAGTTTAACACTGACACCGGTGGGAGTGATGTTCCTGTGTCAGACTGACACTGACACCAGATGATATAGGTGTTTCCGAGTCAGTCCAATACCGGCTTGAGCTTATGGTGGTCGTGGACTCCGGACTCCGGATAGCTGGGCTGCCGCAAGTTGTGACCCTGAAAGAGAAGAGGCATGTGATTAACAGTGTCTCGCGTTTCGGACAAATTGAATGATAATTAAGAGGCCTAAGAGGGTAAGAGTGGTGTATCGTACATGCGTGTGCATAATTAGACGGCCAGCCACACGGGGTATAGCTGACTGCCTCTAGCTGTTCGGCAGGGAGATGGAACTTCGTTTAGGGTAGCGAAATGGAGGAGCATGGAGGAGGTTGAAAGCAATATATTGACGTAACAACGGCAGAACTTATTTAGCAATTACGTCGCAACAGTTAAAACTCAGTGGAAAGGTAAGTGTATTGTGTTTTGGTCGCATTTGAGAGATATTGCAAAGCCGCGTTTCACCGGTGTGATTATGGGAAATGTCTCAAATTTCAGAGGGGTGCCTTTGTGTATCTGCTGCGTCCGACAAGGGCAAATGTGACTGTGAATGATAGTCACCGACAGCCACGCCAAGATAGCCACTCATCCCGGGAAACTCGAAAATGAACACCAGTCACCAGGCCGTGGTGCACGGACGGTCCTCAACGGAGCACGAGAAATAAATGGTCGGCAACGGGGGCACTAAACGATCTGATATACCAGTATAACGCCTTTTGGGGCGACTAACGGAGCGAGCGAGAGGGTGGGCCTTGCACGTGCGAAATTTAGAGGGGGTACCTCCAACTGACTTGTGCACGGCACCCTACTAACCGGTCTCTAGCGATGTGCCAAATTTGAGCACAATCGGCCCAGCCGTTCTCTAGATCTGGAAGCGGCACCCTGCACGTGCGCACGTGCAAAATGGGTCCCAACTGACTTTTGCACGGCACCCTACTAACCGGTCCCTAACCATGTGCCAAATTTGAGCGCCATCGGTCTAGCCGTTTTCGAGATCTGGAATCGACCCCTGCACGTGCGCACGTGCAGCAGCACCCCAATTCTGGCACATGGATATGCATTGCCTAGTGGGTGCCTACCTACATGCCAACTTTCAGCGCAATCGGCCAAGTAGTTACCGAGATATTGCAACAATTACAAAAGTGACACCTCTTCGTTTTGCACGTGGCACGTGCATAAGGGGTCACCCACATGCATCGGGAATAGTCCAATACTTGGTAGAAAGAATGAAGCTACCCTACAAAAATTACCGCGTGTAAATCGGTCAAGTGGTTGCTGAGATATACATAAGCCTCGCAAAAGCGTGACCACGGCCGGCCGGCCGGCCGGCCGCTCATACTCAGAAATTTCCGTTAATCTAAGGAAAGACTACGCTCGCTTCGCTCGCTCCGTAATCATGAAATGTATAAATTTAAGTTAAAAAATATACAAGTCTGGAATGTAAGAGAAATCATCCAAAGAAACATGTACCCGCGCGTGCGTGTTCATTTGTAGATGTTTTATGTACCTACTATATAGTAACGCAGCTCCCTGTGCCACAATTGAGTTATTGTCGATTCCTGCACCGCCATGCGCTCGGTGAATGCTGGCGGAGGCTGGACGCATCTAGTCTTTTTGTGTCGCCGTATTCCGTCACCTCTGGCTGTGTCACGGAGTTACCGACAGCTGCTCATCAGCTGTGTACAGGTTTACCCGAGTGGAAGTCTTCTGTCACCCCGGAGACTATTTCTCGTCCGGCAATCATTCTGGGCAATATGGTCGCGCACTCGACACATTGGCACTTGGTATAATGAGATCCTATAGTTCTTTCTACAATAGTTTGTCATTCTATCTTCAATGTGTTGCATGTTCATCTGCGCTTCTCAGTGCAATTTTCTATTGCAACAGCAAATTTTATTTCAGCGCAAATTTCAGCGATTTCAAATAACTTATGTCCAGATATTCGATGGAAAGCCGCTATTCAGTTGATCCCATAAAAAAGACTTATATTTCGGCTGAGCTTAGTTGACAGTGGGTGTTTTTTTCTGGCTGTAGCTATAAATATGATTGATACACCCAGGCAACTTCTTAGATCTCACAGACTGGCCATTCAACTAATAATCTTTAGACACGGTGGATGTGACGCAAACTGACCCGCAGTGTTGTGTAGCATCATGGGATTAACGGTAAAACTGTTTGGACATGTTGAATTGGTGACTCAAAACTATTGCTTTTCATCATGCAGTGTAAGGGTGCATAGGCATCAGCTGCATATCAAGTTGTACTGATCTCAGGCAGCTTTTGCCAAATTGTCAGGGAACTCAGATTTGTTTTTCAATAGAAAAACACAATTCTAAAGAATAGTGTTTTAACTATTGACAACAAACCTTCGGTTACCAAAATACAGCAGACTAATTTTCTAGCGAGTTTTTATGTAAATGGTAAATCTAGCTTAGCTCCTGTGTATCAAGAAAATAACAGATAACCTACATTTTTTCTGACTTAATTTCATTTTCGACCTAAATCAACATTAGCAAGCTCACTTAGTCAATCGTGTGAAATCATTATAAGCGTTCGTTTCAGCACAGTTGACAGTCAGCAAAGCCAGGCGGTCAGCAGGATTCGACGATTTAACGGGATTGGCGATCAGAGAGATCAGGCGATCACATGGACCAGGTCGTCAGCGGGTCCAGGCGGTCAGCAAGATCAAGTTATCGGCAAGACCAGACAGTCAGCGATGTCACGTGGTCTATTACCTGTCGTCGAGCCGGCGTTGGCCTCTCAGCAGATCTGGTGGCTACCTTATGATTCCGTCTGTGGGCCTCTGGATTTCCGTGCAGTGGTTCAGCCCTCCACTCCAAAATCAACGACAGCACCCACTCCACACACGCGTTATTATTTCAGTCCGCGGACAGCAAAGCATCACCCAAAGAGACACCAAGTGTCCAAGCTAACTACATGCAGTCCAGGAAGTCAGGATAAGTCACAATGTTCTACAGTGTCCAGACTATCACACGAACCGTTGCGGGCCCCAGCCGAGCAGCACGTGCCAGGGTCGGGTCCTCGACGCAGAGCGGACCCTCCCGTCGGTTCCGACGCTGCCCGTCGACTGACTCCGCGTCGCTTTCGACGGGAGGTCCGAACCTGCCGACCGCGCGCGTCACCACCGGCGGCGGCACCGGACACGGTCGGAAGCAGGGAAGAAGGGGGGGGGGCAACAGGAGCTACGGCAGGAGGGAAAAGGGAGCTGAGCTACACCAGAGGGGAGCTAGAGCGGAGGAGACAACGGGATTTGCAGCAGAGATGGACTCCGTAATTAGCTACAGAGAAACAAAAATTAACTGCAGCAGTGAGGGGGCTGCAGCTACTACAAGTAAATCAAAGAGGCCCTGTAGGATAAACAGCCAAAGCTCCACCTTCCACAAGGTCAGCCTCAAAGAAGAAGAGCACCAGCAGACAGCATTTGATCCCGATAAATTAGCGGCGCGGTTTTTGTTCGCTCACTAACCGAGAGAGGGAGTGGTGGTTTATACGATTGCCTTCCCGTTTTGTCTCAAATTAAGCTAGGACTTCGCGAAAACGAGTCAGTTGACCACTGTTGAACAAGGCTGATCAATGGAAGCTGCTTTAACCCACGCTCCAGAGGCGGTCTCAGCCAACTTCGCCATAGTGGGGGGAGGGCATATCGTACCACCCACCTCTAACTCAAAAACTAAGAGGGCTAGGAAGACGCGGTTAAAAAGCAGTCGATAGCTCTCAATGCGTAAGATTGAAAGTATTTGAGTCATTTTTTATCTTAGAGCAATATTGGGGTCACCAGAGGTCATCAAAGGTCAAAATTTGCCAAATGTCATTATATTTTTCAGAAAACATGCCGTTATGTCAGGCACTATGATAGCTAGAAAAACGCATGGAGAGGCACTCGATAGCTTTTGAACTTTTCCTTTGATAAGGTCATCATCAAAACTGACTTCAGGTTAACGGTTAAGCCTCCATAGATCAAACATTGTGAAAATAGCTGTTTTGGGATAAAAAATCACGAATAACTTTTGAACCAGCAAAAATGAACAATCGGCAATGGCACTATCGTGTTTCTCTCCTTCAGACGCTTCGAAAAAGAAAATATATTTTAACCTGGAAAGGTCAAGGTCAAACTTTGACCTCAGGTCAAGGTCACTTAGTGACCCAAATAGGTCATGTTGCATATCATTTGATGCGTCTCGACAAGACAAACACCATTAGGCAATCCCCAGTGTTCTATCTCTTTCCAATCGAGAGTTATTGGCAAACATCTGTTTGTAGCCGCAAATGTCCTCGGATGACCTTTCTAGAGGCTATCAGCAAAAAAGACATCTTAGTCGTCACGGCTGGTCCAAATCATTTTGATTCTGAAATATTTGGACTGTTCCTATGCTTACGCACGGATCTAGATGCATTTCATTTTTCTCCATTGACTTATAATGGAAAGGTCACGCCACCATCTCTTTTGTGTGTGTGTGATCGAATCAAATACTAAACCATGCAATGGAATGATTCGAAATACATTGAACTGAACTGGCCTGACCTTAAGTCACGGATATAAAAAAAAATCCGAGATATACAAATTATAGGTGCCCATAACATCATGCAATCCACCAAGCTTAAAGCCTCTCTGACGAACACTGCAGGCTGGACATGATCGCAAACTTTTTTAGGCTTGGTCAGTTTACTTGACCTGGTGACCCGACCTGACATGACCTCGGGTCAAAAATTTCATGCATTGTCCAAAATTGATGAACAGAAAGCTACTACAACCGGCGCGGCGCTACGCGCCACGTTTTTTTTTTATTCACACGCAAAAAAATCGCGACAGGGTGGTAACATATGCCCCCCCCCCCACACACTGGGACGAAGGTTAACTTAACCCTCGTCGGCCGACGGGGGGCGGGTGCCGCCCCCCCCCCCCCCCATAGGGTTTTTCGCGATAGCTCCGAACACGCTGGCGATAGAGAGCTGAAACTTGGCATACCTGACCTTTGATTCAAGCCGGATCTTTTGACATCAACCGCATTTTTGGGTCAGGTCAGGTCACTGACCTATGAGTTTATGACGTCATAAGTGAACCTCTGCACGGTCCTCAGATGTCGCAACTTCGCAACGCCCTCACTGCCAGAGGAGATGTCACAGGGAAATGAAACTTGGAGGATCTAGTATCCATTATGAGTCTCACAACTTGTATATCTCGGATTTTTCCTAAAGGTCATATGAGGTCAGGTCATTTTCGTGACCTCACCATTATAAGTCAATGGGGAAAAATGAAAACTGCTATTCTGGCGCCGGGAACGATCTCCAACTATCTCAAGCACACAGAATCGTGATTTGATGCACTCCTTGCAAGGTTAGATGCGTCACTTTTGCAATGTTGACCTTGCATGACGTCATTTATGACGTCATCAAGGTCATATTAGTTTTTCGTCAATAACTCCCGATCAAATTGAGCTAGTGAGTCGAGAAAGCCACCAATGGAATCAGGAAGACCTGCCGAATCGAATGATATGCGACATGACCTCTTTCGACCAACTTCGTGACCTGGGGGTGCTGACCTGACCTTGACCTGAGGTCAACACCCAAAGTTGACCTGACCCGAACAAAAAGTATATCATTCGACGCGCCGGAGCGAGGCGAACACGATGCTGCCAAAATCGCGGCTCTGCGGCCGTTTTTGCGAAGTTATTCACCAAAAACTGAACCGTACCTTTGGGCACTTGACCTGACCTCAGAGGTCACCGGTTGACCTAGGACCTTAAAATCGGGTACCAATCTCTGCGTCTCGTAACGGCGCACACGCTCGTTTTTCCCGCGACGCGCTAGCTCCCCCAGGGGCGAAACGGGGAGGGGCGGCCACGTGGCTACCAGCAGTTGCTGTCGCTGCCGCCGCGGCGCCACCAGCGCTGGAAGTGTCTTCACCTACCGCTGACGTCACGATCACGCGATCGCTGGGCAGAGGTCACACGATTGTTGATCGGTACCGCCAAGATGGCGTCAGGGGGGCTTGGCCTTGGGTGCACAGAGACATTATAGGTCATGCACGTGGACAGGTCTATGAACCAACAAGATGCGACTTGCGAGGCTAGCAGTCTGGTGGCAGCATAAGTCGTAACTCCCTGAAATGCGGCACGAGCATAACTGCGTATACGGTCGGTGATACTGTCGGGCCGTCGGCCGTTGGAGAGCTCTGGCCTGAGCAATAATGGCCGACGCGCAACCCTGTCCTAGGGCCAGTCGGTCTTGGTGGCCAGTAGGGCGGCAGCGGAAATGCAGGATACGACCCACCTTATTTGCGCCTAGGGGCAATCTGCAATCGTCGGCAGGCAGCACAAAGATGTTCCCTCTGTGATGGTTTGTCAGCAAAGGGAAGGGTGCAGTTCGTGGGGCGCCGCCGCCTGTGGTCACTTCCACAGTGTATATAAATAGTCACTTCCACGTCAGTGCAACTGCAATGTCTGGCCGACCGCTAGGTGTCACTGGGTGTTTCATATGGGTCATGGGTTCACACGATGCCGCCGCCGAGTACGTACGGGCGTTTGCGGCGCCGATGTGTGTATGGCTGTGGGCCTCGCCGTTCTAATGAATCTTACAGTCTCATCCGATCCAGTAAGGTGCCAAAATTGACCTGATCTCACGTCACCAATATCAAAATTCCGAGACATACATTTTATAGATAATGTTGCTCTTATCAATCGCTGAAAGTTTCAATGCAATCGATCAATCGGTGTGGCTATGACGCCAAGTGAGGTGAGGTCACTTGGCGTGACCTGGTGACCTGACCTAAGGCGACCTGGGTCTGAAATTTTCACAACATGTGCGGAAAAGATGCACGAACAGGTTTGCCTTTTGAAATATCTGCGAAAAACCGCGGCAGTGGTGTTCAAACACCCCCCCCCCCGGCCCGGCGCGGGTTAAATTGTTGCCATGAATACGTGTAAATATCGAATAACATGATTTCTGAGTGCAATCGTCTTCATTCCGTTTCCTAAAAGTGTGATTTTAGTCCTTCCCAGCTCGTCGGCCTTACCGCCGAGGAAATATTGAGCATAGAGGGAGAAGGGGAAGACTGGGGCTATAGTTTTCCCCTTGGGCAATGGATCACTGCGGGAGTCCACCCCCGCCATTTGGGAGTTCGATCGGGGAGCGCCGATTCCCACGTGGGCAGCGCCGAGAATCGACCTTCTCCAGCACACACCGCAGACCGAACAAGCGCCGCCACTTACATATTACAGATCTCTGCATTTCTTTCAAAATGTGTCGAAATCTTTCCCATGGTGCAGCTTGCAGAATAAAGAGATCCCGGTACAGAAGGTTCGAACGTTTCAGCGCTCGATGCATGAAACTCCTGATGGGGATAGTTTACAGTTGCTGCGGCAATGACTGGCGAAAGCAGCCGTAGCCGGTTGAAGCCAGTGAGAAGAGTCGTTCTTAACTTCACTTAACTTCACTTGGCACGCTCACCTTTCCTTCATGAAATACATAGCTGGTATCACGACCACTTATATATTTATTTTTTTTTTGACAAAAGGTAAAGATAATGACTTCACAAGAGCTCATCCAAAGTTCGGACTCGTTCTGATTTTCGTTCCGAGTTCCGATTCAACTGTTGATAAAATGTTGTATGTAAATGGACACCAAATGTGCCTGCCTGCAACTAGCTAGATAAATCGACTCCCACCTATCATCTGCGATGTGAGACTGTTAGTGCAAAGGTGAAAACTATCGTAAGTGCATTGCTCGGATGTTATCTCCAGTAATTATCGCTCGCCAATTAAGTCGTAAATGTTGACTGATGCACTGTTCTTTGAAATATCCGGCGGTAGTGTTATCTAACTTCTGCGTAAGATCATAAACTGAAAAAGGGTCTCTCGAGCTATTCTGCTCCCTAGATAAACTGGAAATTCGCGCCTTTTTGTCAGCTATTTGAGTGAACGTCTCTCGTCTGAGAGCATTTATCTGCTCTGAGAGCTTTGGTGCTATTTATTTTCCGACCATTAAGAGGAAGCCAAGTTAGCAAATAAGCTCAGACGTCATTAAAAGTTTTCGTCCATCGCCTCGGTCCGGACCAAAGTTGCTGCGCTGCGCAGAGTGCCTCGTGTCAGGCTCGGTTATTATCTGTCACAGACACTCAATGGCTGGGAGTGAGGCATCAGGACGGTCATCGCCCAAAGCTAAAACACAGAAGCTGCGTTACACATTTATCGATCCAGTGCTTCCCTACCTGCCAGGCTGATACATACATACAAGACTCGGTTGGTAATAATTATAGCATAACATGCGTCCGTTCACGCAACTTCCAGAATTACAACCCTTGCAACAGATTTTCCAGTTTTTCCTTTTTGTAAGACTGCGCGTTGTTTTGCAGTTCTCCTACGAAGAACCACTCCTTTCCTCCGTTTGTTGTGATTTGTCCAGATCTCGTCGGCGCAGCGGTCCACTATGCAATTTGATACGGACGCCGCCTCGAGCGCCTCGCAATGGCGAACCGATCCGGTAGTAAAGTGGGGGAGTGATGCGTTCGGCAGACGACAGGAAGAGAACGCATTCGCCAGCAGGCAACAGGGCGGGAAGGTCGTAGCTCTGGAGATAGACGGTCGAGGGCTCGTAGCTTCATCACTTAAGCCAGAGAAATAGTGGCTAACTGACAGTATACGTGAAGAAGGTTTAACCCGCGCCCTGGTGGGGTCTGTTTATAACGTGACCTGGTGGGGGGGCTATTTTTTGCCCCCCCTCGTATCTCAGAAACTACTGGACGGATCCGCAAAATTCAAACGGCGTTCGAAAGGCCTGTCAAATTTGTCGAAGGAAACCAAATTTCATTGACCTCGGGGTCACCGATGACGTCACAGGTCAGGTCAAAGATGAAATGTTTCACCGTTCACGGGTCTTCTAGGGAATGCGCTATAACACCGAGGAAAACGCATTTTGTCGAGAATCAGCGATAGGGCGTCAGTTGCCTAGTAGATATGTTGCTATTAGAGGTCACTGACAATACCCGGTCAGGTCACAGGTCAGGTCACCAAGGGTCACGGGTCAGGTCACATGAACCCAACTTTACTAAGGTTGTGTGATGCATGTTTTACGGCCAATTTTTCATTTCCAACTCAATGGTGTTGGTTATAAGACTATCAGGTACGGCTTAGGTCACTTTCTGGTGAAGTGCAGGTCAAGGTCAGGTCAAGGTCAGGCCAAAAAAGGTCAAATTTTAAAGTTGATAGTTTTGCATAAAATGGGTATTGATTCGATGCAGCTCGTCACGGGGAGTCTAATGGTGGTCTTTGTTTTGCTCTACGGGGTCTAGAATGGCTAAAAATTGAGTTTGAAAATTTGACGTCATCAATTTTGAACAGTTTTTTCGCTATAACTTCGCCAAAAAAAAGAGGTATCAATCTCAAATTTGGTATGTGGATGGAAGGCGGTAAGGACTATCACATATATTCCGGTTTTTGCGAAATTCAAAAAACTTTTTTGGATTTTTTGATTATTATATCCAAAAAAATATTTTTTGATTTTTGGGGGTCAAAATCCAAAAATTTCAAAAATCCGAGATAGCAGTTTTGTAGCCCTGTTCATTCTACAGCTTTTATGTCTCTAACATTTTTCTGTATTTGCAAAGCTATAGGCCTGACAGCGCGAAACCCTTTTTTGGGTCGAAAACGGCAGAACATGACGTCACTCTGATGTCATTTCCGGCCAACCTATCATAGCCTTTGGAAAAATTTTTGGTCACAATGTGTAAAATTGATGTCCGGGAGGGTACTGAAAGTTTGGTGACGATCGGCGCAGCGGTTCTGGAGATATATCGAAAAGTCTAGAGGGGGGCAAAAAATAGCCCCCCCCCCCCCACCAGGTCGCGGGTTAAATCTGGATTCGAGCAGTGAGCAGTGACTTACAAAACATTACCAAGTAAACGGGATTTTCATTTCCATTGCGAGGCCGTGTCTAACTATTTTCATGGATTGCTGACAGTTTTACTATTTCGTTGTTATTCTAGAAAAATAAAGCCATAGTTCGCTTTTGTTTAGCTTGCCAGTACTCGACTTTTGACTCGACTTCTCGAGCCTTACTGTAGGACTTTCCTATGAAAGTATGCAAGTGCTTGTATGCAAGTGTTGGATCCTTCTGAATTTGGAGCAACAGCTCTCGGCAAATATACAAATGTGTCTTACCACGCCATACATATGGTATTTGAATGGAATGATATGCAAGTGCTTCCATGCCATAATATGGATGGTAATATGGAAATGAAAGCATTAGTAAATGTAAAGGAAACGGAGCAGATGTGGTTATTGGGAAAATTCGAATCATTTTCGAGCCATAATCGAGACAAAAATTAATCATAGTGTACATAACTTATATCATTTGGGATCCAACGAGACGTATGCAATATGCATACTAGTGCCATTGGTCCCACAATTACGTGCGAACTCTTGTATGACCTGTTCATATATCATATGTCTGTCACGTTCAAACGTTGTGACCATTTGTTTCATTGCCGACGGGGGAATATCCAGCCAGTAGACCGGCACAGCTGATTGCTAAAGCATGCACCGGGATAATGCAATAAAACCGACTTTGTAACCGAATTAGGGAGTGTCGGCGCCGCGGGCCGCGCGCCGCCCCTGCGCGGAGCCAGTACAAAGGGGACGCCTGCCGTCCCCACACTGCCAGGTGGCAGACCAATCCCCAGCGGGATAGACCATTTTCCCAGCCACTGAGCCGACCCGAGCCCTCCAAATCGCGCCGAACACCGCCGGCGCTCACCATTGTTGTCGCACAATTGAGTTGGCAGAAGGTTTCATTACCAGTCAAATGGTAATCCCGTGAAACCCCCTAATGTGTTATTTACTTATGTTGAATAAGCAAACTGTTGTGCACTGCATCTGGCCAGAAGGTCAGACAATTGACTTGCTTTAGAGTTGTGAGAATGTGTCGCAGTGTCGCACACACATGCACCGACAAAATGGTTTACCTACCCGTGAAACTGCCAGTTCTGTTAAGCGTGGTTTCGTGTGGAATGGTTTTGTGGTAGGTTTCAGTGTGTTTTTAGTGAATTTAGTGTGGTCTTTAGAACAGTAGATGCAATGTTTTTTTTTTGCGGAGTGATGTGACTTGTGAGCCATGCAGCCCTATCACCACTCCGCCAAGCTGGCGCCAGTTACCCACAACGCTTTTGGGCGATAACCCCCAGCACATTCATCATAAATTCGACTATGTCGGTTTGCGGCCGCCTGTCTCTGCGTGCCATCACCGCAGTGCTGGGTTAATTACTGGCGTGCCTCCTAAATGGCGGGACACTTAGCTGATTGTACGTCAACACACTGAATAAGTGACGAATTCAAACGCTGCTGGGCTCGTGTCAAGTGCCTCTGGGCTTGATTCGAAATGGAATGAGCTAATTCGACTGCTCTAGTAGTTATAAAGCGGTGGACAG